GTAATTTATAATAAACAAAAATTTATTCTTAAAAAAGAACATTAAACATTCATAAATATAAATTGCATAAATGGCCAATATATTGTTTGATCGGAAAATACTTCTGCATGATTCCCTATATGGCACGTTTAAGATTATTCTTAACGTTCTCTTCTGAATGATAAACACTTTTTCCGCATCAGAACTGCTTTCCCAAAACATGATGCCATATTTAGCAGCTGCTTCAAAGTTTGCATGATACATAATTTTCATTGAACTGAAATTTAGAAATCTATTGAGAGTTCTCGTGGCAAACACGACTGAATTTAGTTTCATGCATAATTTTATTTGCTCAGACCAGCCCAAATATTCCTTAATATAAACACCTAAGAATTTAGTACAAGGAGCTATCTCTCTCTTTCTATTTTTCATATTTATGCTTGATGGACCATCTATCTGTAGCTGTCTTGGACGGAACAGGATCGTATTAGTTTTTGATTCGTTAAGAATCAATTTATTACTTTCAAACCAATGTCTGGTACCGCCAAATAGATTACTTGCATTTTGCATAAGATCAGGAAAATTATCACCTCCGCATAAAAGGTTTGTGTCATCAGCATAATTTGTAATAAACTGATCTTCTTCAATACTGGTTGCACATAATCATTCATGACAATTATGAAAAATATTAGACCGATAATACTACCCTGTGGTATTCCGATATCTGATGATGATATTTTAGATTTATACATTTTTCCTTGATTCTTAATGCACACTCTTTGAGTTCGTTCAGTGAGATAAAATTTGGCCCATTTCAGAGCATTCCCTCTAACACCATATCTTTCTAGTTTAACCATCAACAGGTTTCTATCCAAACAATCATAAGCCTTGGAAAGGTCCAAAAACATTCCCAGGGCTAGTGACTTTTTTTCCATGAAATATAATATATTTTGAGTGAACTGAAAAATGGCCGACATTGTTGACCTTCCTTGGATATAGCCATGTTGATTTTTACTTAACATGTTGCATTCATTGAAGAAGTCAATTAATTGTGTAAAATATGCCAATTCAAATATTTTCGCAAAACTTGGTGGTATACTTATGGGTCTGTAATTTTCCATCACTTCCACATCACCCTTTTTGTAAATAGGTTTCACCGAAGACAGCTTCAGTTGTTTAGGAAATAACCCAAATTTCAAAGAGTTATTTATGATATAAGTTAGAACTTCTTTTATGCAAACCATATTCTTTTTCATTAGTGAAGTAGGCATTTCATCATCTCCACTACTTTGTTTACTTTTTATTCCATGTCCTAATTATATGGTATCATTTGGTGTAATTTTTTTTAAGTATAGCGACTTATCATTTTCTGTAATATTATTGAAAGATAGAACATCAGGAATATCTTTCATATTTGGTCTCTGACTAATCATATTCATCTCCTAAAGACGCTAACTTGGTTAGCGAAACTCGCGTCGAGAGACCGTAAATTTTGTTCTTATTTCAACATAAGACACCGGGACCATGTATTATTGGATAAGAAATCAGCCATACAGAGTGTAAAAGCTAAATGGAATACATTCATTATTTCGGTTACAGCACATATTTAAACAAAATTCCGAAACATGTCAAATTTAAAATATAATTTAACATTCTTCAACGTAAAAATGCCCTCCCTACCTTCACCCCCTTCGAATGATAGGGTACAACCCCCAATTTTTTAAATGAAAGTATAGGTTTGTGATATATCGTTTGAAGTGACTCTTCATTCTCTATTCAAAAATGTTATCGCTTTCAAGTTTATTGCAACAATTGTAACGCTTTAAATTACAATCATGTGGTTACCGAAATTCGATAAAATACACTCAAAAACTAAAATGTAATGCAAAACGTAATGAAATGTAGAATATGAAAAAAAACTATGGTTGTTAACGAAGTAATTGTTCACAATGTTCACCGCGAACGTCTTGGCAACATCCTAATCTCAAATAAAACTGTCTTCTAACATTATTTAACACATCAGGCATGACTGACCTAAACGCAAGCCTTATTCGTTCTTTCAAGTCATTCAAATCTGGCGGTTTAGTTTTGAACACATTCCTCTTCACATGTCCCCATAAAAATAATTCCATATGGTTTTTTTGGCTATTAAGAGTGCCGCCACCTTTGAATGTGTACAATATCGTTTACTTCGACTATACCTAAGATTGAAGAAAAACTAGACTTTTGGATACTTTCGACAGTCTACAGGTAAATATGACCCAAAGAGCTCAATTTCTATCCATTTGTGAACCAGTCATTTCAGTCTTGAAATGGGAATTCAACTGATTGGATGTAAGTGGACGAAATTAAAGTCAGGAACTTAGTACGGTTCATTATCTGATGATGCCAACTTAGTTGGTGAAATGCGTTTCAAGAAAACTGTTACAGAGTGTTCGTGTTGTATTCTCTACGCCAGAGTATATCTTTCAATAAACAAAGTCATCGCGTGCAGCGACGTTGATAAATGATGAATTAAAATTTTAGAAACAAATAAAGTCAATTCAGTTTTCAATAATTGCCCACTTTGACAATAAAGAAAATATGATTTCTTTTGCCATTACCACGATAATTATTCAATTGGTGTTGATTGACATATTTTTACTTATTCTGCCCTAAAAACCCCTTCAATCTCATCAAGTACTTTTATAAAATTTCTTCCATTCCAAATATGAAATGTATACCTACTAGAAGTGACCAGGCAACAGATATTATCAAGCAGACCCTTTATCTGATCCTCCTGATCCCATTTCCTCTGCGCACGGGTAATTAATCAGTGAGTCTCAAAATCGTGTGTATGTGTGTGATATTCTCATTAGGTTCGACATTAGGTTTTCACCAAGTGCTCAATTACTTTTCCAACCGAAGGATTTATTTAGTTTTCAACTTACACTTGGTGCAGTAGTCACTCCCAGTTGGTAAACGGTGACTCATGAGTAATCAACCTGCTGCTACCTGTGCTGCATCAAAACACAGATAGATGCAAGGGATGCAAAATATTGTTTTCAACAGGCGTTTTTGTTTCAACTTTTAATTAGAAAAGGTGAAATATACAATACCTGATGAAAATACCATTAATTAAAATTGACGCTAAAATTATTATAATAATAATAATTAAATATTTCTGCATGGTGTGATGTTTCTGACCTACTTTCGCATGGCATATAATTAACTAGAATATATGCTTGCGTTTGCACTATACAACTGTGAAGTTAAGGAGTTCACCACATACCTTCCAAAATCCAATTTTACTGTTCAGCCACTAAAAATCTCCCCCGCACGGTCTTCATGTACTGTTAGTATAGTACCAATGTTTTAATGATAAATTATCCTTGCATTGAGTATTTGGAATTAATGATAGTCTTTACGGTTTTATTGATCACTGAAGTTCTAAAAACCGGACCCAGAACTTATTTAAACATATAACGCTTGAATAAATTATTGATACGTGTCGGCGCGTTCTTCAAACGACAAATATCGAACCGCACAACAACACTGCTTGTCAGTACTGTCATTAGTTTGCTAAGTTACTATCCCAGCTGATTATCAATTTCGTCGATTCGCTGCTATATTCACGCATATCACTAGTCCCACGTGTATTCTCCCCTCCTACAATTTCATTGGTCGGTCAAAATAATAATAATATATTCCATTTTAGAACAACCAATAACTAAATAACGTTTTACCGAGACGATACGAATCAACACGAAGGTAAAAGTAATCAATGCCAAAAACTTACCAACTTGAAGATTGCCAACTTCACAATGTTAGATTGTCAAATTCACAATGTTACAATTCCTCCCGCATTCCCCTGCATTCCCCGCATTCACCTCCTTGTAAAAAATTTTCAATTATCTTATTCATCCTAGATTTGAAAAAACTTCTGTTTTATTTAGGAAGATCGAACAGTGTGCGACATCTAGGTTATATAATTAGAACGTTAAACTCGGGGAAAACGTTAGGGAACAACGCACAAGTTTCACTTTTGAAATACTTTACATGTACATTACCCACAACGAGATTATGAAAATAGCTTGGAATCGAAAATAGTAGCTTCATAATGCGAAAGTGAAAATGTAGAATTTTTAGATTGTTGAAAAACGTACCTCTATCGGAATATTTTTAAATAAAATGTTACTTTCCCACAATCCCAAGTGATGCTCCCGTTTGGGAATATTTATATAGATGGATAGATAGATAGATAGATTTTATTTAACTACTTCGCAATATGTTTGTAACACGTCAAAAAAGAAAATCCAATAAAATTATTTTTACAATATTTGAATCGACTTTGAATATTAAAATATTTTCAAACCTGGGTAATTTTTGAAAATGGAAGCTTTAGAAAAATGTATTTTCCTGTTTGGAGCCAATATAAATTATTTTAAATGATAAAAAATCTATATGCGTCTTTCCTATTATTGAACCTATTAAGGAACTTAAGACACAAAAATCTTCACATATCAGTTCTTCATTTAATAATTGTCACGTTTATGTGAGCGAAAGTGACAAGAATAACTTTCCATTATCAAGCTTAGAATCGGTAACCTAATCAACATTTGTAGCGAACACTTCGACTATGATAATTCTACTCATAAGTTTATGAAATATTCATTAGACAAAAACTAATTCATTCACTGGTTATTCCTGGAAAATGAACACTGGCCCTTTTATTCTCAAGGCAGTAATTGTATCCCTTTTATTAGGTGTTTCATATACTCAACGAATATATATATATAAGTACGAGTATAGTAAACAGTTCATTTTTTGTTCAAAGATGGAGAAGTAGAAAGTCAAAAACCCTTTTTTTCCAAAATTCGAGTTTATTGACCAGTTACTAACCTGAGTTGGATTTTCAACTTCAAATTTATTTGATATTCAATCATTTTTCAATTAGAACTAAAACGTAACAACTATATTTGTCTAACATAAGAGTTAACTGATTAACAGGGTCAGTTCAGGGACCCAGTCCCAGTCAGGGACTTATAAAAATTAAAGAAGAAGAAAGCTGTTTTGTTTTGTTTATTCTACTGAAACATGGCGGACGAGCAGTTACCTGCAGGTTGGGAAAAACGTCTTAGCCGATCAACCGGTAGGTTTTTTGGGAATCAAAACATCATGGACATTTTGCAAACTTTGTTGGAAATGTAATATTGATACAATCAATTATCCAGAGAGTTATTCTTCAATATTCCAATTTCAAATGTCTTAGGCATGAGTACACTAAACCGGTATTTATTTGAACCATTCCTTTATTTTAGGCCAACATTATTATTTGAATATATATACCAAGGAGTCTCAATGGGATGCCCCTGACAAACCGGCAGAACCTGTTTCTTCAAGTGGGCCTGAACAAGTGCAGTGCTCTCACTTGCTGGTAAAACATAAGGATTCCAGACGACCCTCTTCTTGGAGAGAAGAAAACATAACACGTTCCAAAGAGGATGCACTAGACTTGGTAAAATGTGAGTCATTAGATCTAATAATGGTCTCCCTATTAGTTCTTGTTTCTTTATTGAAGTAATGGTGTCAGTTCACAAACTTAGCAGCTGATAATTTGTTTTAGTTTTATCTATACAAACAAGTATCATGAAATTTTCCCGAAAATTGACTTTCCTCTTGTTTTTATCAAACTTTAGAAATGGTTTCATGGGGACATCAATAGCAGCACCTATATGTATGAAAAATTTTAGTATTTCTGTACTCAAAATATCAGTCTTTGAAAGTTTGAGGCCTTTACATTATATTTGACATTAGGAGTCATTGCAATATTTATATAATCAGTGATAAAAAACACATACATTCTTGGAAAAATTGAAATAATGATTCTTGATGATATATTGAATATTACAGTAACCTAGGGCCAAGCCTGTCCTTGTAACTACTGAGATAATAATTTTTCCTGATGTCACAAATATTTTATGTGAAAAATTGTGTTTATCAACGTTGCTAAAGAGTTGCCAACACCTCATGCAATCGACATTAGCAAGAGAGATTCAGTTTCATACCATTCATGTGATCACTCCTTGTCGTTTTCATAAGTAAGGAATCCAGGGGAAGAAGAATGGTTGCAAAACTTTCATCAATCTTTTGCATGTTTGTTCTGAACTTAAAACCTGATAACATTTACAATATATTGGGTTCTTTCAAACTCCATATCTACTAGCCTCTCGTCTTGACAAACATTGTTTCTAGAAATTTCATTAGTAGCTGATTCACATTTTTCCTCATTTTAATCATTACCGAGAAAGCTTGTTTCTTTTGATAGAAGTTTTTTCTGTACCAAATCGCCCATTTGATAGTGTGAATAAATGCATTTCTTGAGGACAGCACTATAATTTTTGATCTTCAAATAGTTATATTGTCCATTAGTCTTTAGCTCACACAAGTTTTGACTTCTGAGGGTTGTCGTTCGTAGGGGTGCGACAGCTGGTTAACAAAAAACATTTTAAACATATATTTTTTAAATGAAGATCTTGATATATTGAAAATGTCTGAATTTTTTCTTCTTTACAAATATTTTGATATACTTCCCTATTGACCGAAATGAGTGATGTACCATGTGCAATTATAAGAAGTGAGAGACCGTTGAACATCTTGTTTTCAATTGAAAGATATATGAAAATATCAGAGGACCATTCATTAGGGACACCTAAGACGAAAAAGGTATTTCACCTTTTCATCAATATTTTGAAACTTTGGTCATTTGTGATGAACAAATAAATACTGCCAACTATCATTTTGATCATCACTACAAACCTTTTTATTCATGTTGTTTAATTTCCAGGAAGGACACAACGTTCTCATATATTCTTTTTAGTACTAACCTTCTTTTTTATTTGGCAAGGCATTATATTATTAGGAATACCACATGCATTTTTTCTTTCTAGTAATTGGGCTGAACTCCTGCCTGATTGCATTAAAAAGAATCAATAAATATTATTATTATCATCATTGGCAGAATTTTTCAATGTTACTATTATAAGGCCATTTGAATCTTTTCTTTATTAGAATTTTTGTTCCAGCTTACCGGGAACAAATTGCTCAAGGAAAAACATCATTTGCTGAACTTGCTTCCAAATATTCTGATTGTTCATCAGCAAAGAGAGGTGGGGATCTAGGACCTTTCGGTAAAGGCGCTATGCAGAAACCTTTTGAAGAAGCTGCTTTTGCTCTGAAGGTTGGAGAGTTATCTGAACCTGTATTCACAGATTCTGGAGTCCACATAATTTTACGCACAGTTTAACTCAAGTTGATAAATCTATGTACTTCCTAAATTACAAGAGCAAATTTTGATCTACATTGCTATACATTTCTCTCAAGTTATTGTTCAAGTGAGAATTTGTCAAGAAGTTGAGATGCATTTATTTATTATGATTATGATAAGATTGGTAATTGTTATTTTTTTTATAGTAGAAATGACAAATTTGGCTTATGATATTTAGTACATTTTAAATAATGTAACTTGATTAAGACTCCTATTGATTACCATTTTATAAGAATCATAGCACTATTGTAGATGGGTAATTGTTTTTGTCCTATAATAATCTCAGATTAAAACGATGTTCAAACATTCTTGTCTCCTTTCTTTACATTTGTTTGAAGCTAATTTCATCCTATTTTACAATTTACTTTTATGAAAACATGTTTTTAATGAATTATATCCTATAATAAATACTGTAACAAATATTATGTAGATTTATCATTATATGGAGTACAGAAAGTGGGAAAAAGTTGGTTTCAATTCAAAACAATTGGAGTTTAGAAATAGGTTTGCTTTGATAATCTGTGCTCTACTCTTCTTCCTGGTTTCTGTGTTACAAATAGCAACCTGAGATTTATTGAATATCCAATCAGGATATCACTTTTACCAGTAAAAATGTTTTTGGGTAAAAACTATCTGTCCCTGAGTATGAGGAGGCTAAACGGGAGAACGGGAAAATCCAGTTTTGGCTTCCGTTTCAAAAACTAATGACAAAAATATACATTAAAGTGAATTCATTTACTTTGGCAATTTTTTTAAAACTATTCAAATCTATATGAGTCCTTGAATTTCACATCAAAATCCCAATGGATTGCTTCAGCCAATAGAAACGCGTTAGCGTTTCGAATGAACTAGTCTGCCTGATGTTCTGTTTATAATCTGTTTTTTCTTCAACCTAGTGTCTTCCCTTTACGAACGACAAACCTTGAAAATCGTGACTTATGCGGGTTAAGGATAACGTTTTAACGTGCGATTCTCAGCACCAACAGATCAATCAGTGGACTTCTATGATGAATTTAAGAACTTGCCTCTTATGGCACATTCTCAACGATTCACAAATTTATGAATAATTACAAAATATCTAATTGATCGTGTGTGAATACTCGGTTTTGATGATTTCTTCTGAACATTTTTATCTTCATTGCAATCAGATATTTAGAAAGATCACTGAGTGGGCGACACATAAGTTTCAAAATTCGAATTTTATTCTGAAGACAAACAGTGATTATTTTTTCAAGAAATTGCAAGGGGAAACATATTAGTTGTCTCATTTATTAATTGTAATATTAATTTGTATGAATGTAAAAGTCAGCTTTTTATCATGACTAATAAAGCCAACACTATCGTTAAATCAGAAAAGGTATTAAAATCAGATTTTTTATCGACTTTCTTTGGATATTTTCACCTTCCAAAATCTGAAATACATGAAAATTTTAACGAACTTCATACAAGTGTATTACAATTTTCATATTTTTCTGATTGTGAAATGGTATAAAATCTCTCTGTGTTTGTAGTGAACACTCCAACAGAGACGATAAAATATTTTTCAATAAGCATAAGCAACTATATAATCCATTATGGGTTATTATTTTGTGACAATTCAATTCTATATAAAAGCTATCTTGAATTGGAGTTTCTGAATTCAAAATAAGATTTTCTTAATCCTCGAGTTTTGCATGGCTACTTCGCGGCAGTAGTAATTCCGAATAGTTAACAGTGCAAAATATATGATCTAAATAAAAAAAGGAGAATTTACGAACACATTACTCCGAAAAGGAGCAAGGGCAGTTTTATGATATAACAAAGTACAATACAAATTGAATTTTCTAAAATCACCAATCTATATGCATTGTTTTCATACAATGACAGAATTTTAGTATCACTCTATCACTTCAACGTCATCTGTCAAAAAATCATGTTTCTTTTTCACGCGTTGAGTGTCTCTTCTGTAACTATTCTATATGGTTTTTTTCAATCAATAGATACTCGAATAGGTTTGAATCCATTTGATCAATCAATGAACTTATCAGTGAATTTAAGAACTTATCTCACATCCGGAAGTAATCATGCGTAGCTGCTGTTTTCTATAGACTCTGACTCTGACTCTGTATGACCTTGACCGAAATTAAAAACATAACCACAGATTATCTGTAACCTGTAACCTAACAAACTCATGGAAACTATTCTATTACTGATATATTTTGAAAATTGAATTTGAATGTTCAAATAACATTTTCCACTTTTATTTTGATAAAGTTGTCTGTGAGTTTTATAGTTCCAAGTAGGATATACAAAACACTATGTTGAGAACAACCAGCGTTACCCTATCCAGAAAGTTAACTCGACTTTATAAACAATGTCTTTATTCTACTAGTTCTTCATTAACTTCAACATATGATAAGTTGGAAAAATTTCGCACATCCGAGACGGACTGTTCAAAGCATTCGAACGAACATCTAGCCCAGTTTTATGAGGTTGCACAGGAAGATAAGAAGCGTGTATTCACATATGGTGGATTACCCAAAACATTTGAAACTCAAATCAAAACCTTCCATGAAACTTGTATTATGATAAGACAACCAGCAATTGATGTCATTAATTGCCTCAAAACTTTAGATTACTCTAAACCTGCAGTAAGGTTTGTGTTATATGGAAAAAAAGGATGTGGCAAATCATTATCTTTGGCACATATCTTGCACTTCGCTTCCAAAGAGAATTTCCTGATTGTTCATGTACCTTGGGTCAGCAACTGGATGCGTAGATGTAAAGAGTATAGTAATTCTGAGAAGAGAGAAGGATATGTTGACTTGAACCTTGATGGTGCTGCTTGGCTTGTACATTTCAAGTCTCAAAATTCCCATCTGCTATCCACTCCAGAGGCCAAAACCTCCAAAGAATATGTTTGGAGTAAAAGAGAAGTCACCCCGAAAGATTCTCCGATATCAGATATTATTGATCATGGGATCAATAGGGTAAAATATGCTTCTGAAGCAGTTGTTGCTTTATGTGCTGAAATCAAGGAACTTACAAACCGTAGTGTTTTCAAAACATTAGTTGCTATCGATGGGTTCAACGCATTCTTTTATCCTAAGACCAGGGTTTACACTGAGAAAAAAGAAGTTGTACATCCACATAATGTAACACTCACCGAAGGATTTTTAAATTTGAGTAAAACTGATTGGAAAAATGCTGCTATTATTGTAACTGTCGATGAGATAGCAATTGCTGCCGAAGATCACATATCACATTTGCCAAGGTAGGCGATTTTTAATGTAAAGACTTTTTCAAGAGATTTTAGCATTTAATGGTGAATATTTTTTCAGGTATCTGCTGGGAAAGGAAGGTTTTGAACACTTAGATCCATTTGTACCAATTTCTGTGTCAGAATACAACGAAAAAGAATTCCTTAGCTGTATGGAGTATTATAGAGACCGAAAATGGGTTCAAGGATACCCAGGACAAGATGAGGAACTTCGTTTTATTAGCACTTCAAATCCGTATGGATTAATGAAAATGTGTGCGTCTCTTTAAAAAATAGGTTTTATTTGTGAATTGTGGAAAGACTAAACATTATTTAACAATGTTAGCAGTGTGACATTCTTGGTTTTCTACATAATTGTGGATATTTTCAAAAAATATAATGACTGGAGAATTCTTTTTCTTGAATTACAAGAAAGGAAAGAGGAATTTTGTTTCATCCTATTGTGAATCTGTAATAACGTATGTAAAGTTTCCTGTCACCTTGTACCAAGCAAAAGCAATTGTTTTTTTGGGAAAGAGGGTTTGGCTTTCTACTTATCCATCTATACACAGAAAAATGTATGAAACTTTCAAAGAAAGGAATTTCAAAATGAACTCTATTCAAAGATGTGTACTTCATGTAAAGAAGTAACTTTCAGACACAAACTGGAAAAAAGCCCTCTTAAACCAGCTTTTTTTCATATAAACATTATATAAAAGAAAAACATACTTTTGAAACAACTACTTTTATATGAACACTGAATTATACAAAAAACACTTTTCTCTATGCAGTTTGGAATCCAAACATTTATTATGGAATTGAATCAGATATCATTCACAGATTGGTGCTGACGAGGCATTAAAGTATTATTTCTTTTGTGTAATTCAATATTTATATAAAAGTAGCTGTTTCAATAGGGCTTTTTCTACCAGTTTGTTTCTGAAAGTTACTTCTTTGAACTACATATCTCTGTATAGAGTTTATTTTGAAATTAATTTCTTTATTCCTTTCTTTGGAAAATTCCTACATAAAGATGTAAAAGTAGAAAGCCAAAATTTTTTTCCCAAAAATCAATATCTCTCAAAAATAAACCCTTCCAACGTAAACAATTGTTTTCTATTCTTTTCACATTGAAAATTTGACTTGACTGAAAAATCTCGTTTTGGATAATATTTTTTGAAATAGATTTTTGTCAATGTTTCATGAGCTTTTCTAAAAAATAACTAACAGCAGATCACTAGAGTTGAAATGGTAAAGTGAAAAATTCATTTTAAAAAGTTTGTGACTTATAGAAATTGAAATTTGCTTTTTTATGAACAAAAATGAGATGCTAGACAATTTGAATATTTTTTAAGTTGACCAACAATCCTCAGGACCCTACTTAATTGAGAATAACTTTTACTGGTTTGTGAAATGGGTGGGGGTATGAATATCATTTGTAAGACAACCATTTCTGAGATAAAATCTCACATCTGTTGACTTGAGAAAATATATTAATATCTCACTGAATCAAAATAGAATGAATTGTTTTTGTCATCTACATCAAGAATGCAATTACACCTAAATTTATCAAAATTCATTCCTGGTTTGCAATTTTGAATTGATGCTGTTTATGGTATTCATGTTAGGAGGATATTGATATTTCACTTTATTATATATTATTTATAATAATGATAAAAATAATAACAATAGCAGTTATTACCCTACAGTATTTTAACTGAGAAGTATGTTCAAAAAACAATATAGGTGCTCATAGCTATAATATTACAATTTGGGAAATGAACAAAAGAAATGAGAGGAGTATAGAAAAAAGATATATCATATGTTAAATACCCACATGATAAAAACTAGCTCGTTGATTTCACACCATGCCTGTATATTTTCTAACTATTGTTGTAATAAATTACAATCTTCGATAGTTTTAACAGCTGAATATATTTTGCAATCACCTGAAAAAATAACTTATTACAATCAAGTAAGTTGTGAGTAAACAAGGGCAACGAAATTGCCCTTTACGTAGACACCATCTATGGGATCAACTGGACTGAAACCTCGAATATCAAAAATAAACGTGGCTCCCAGTAAGGCAACTAGTTGGACAACTGAGCCCAAAGACAACACGTTCATGATTCAACACCAGACAGTGCTGTTTTCAATCGACATTGGTTTTATCAGTGGTGCTAGCCTGAACAAATGCATTCTAGGACTCAACTGTCCTTAAAGAACAAGCCTGAGTAAGCAAATACGATGACACCTACCCTTACAAAGACGCCACTGATGAGACCTTTGGCGGGTTGAAACAGCGCTGTCTGGTGTTGGATGAATTATGGGAAACAAGTTGTTGGAGTTTTTGTAGAAGAATTATGTGATCAAGTCATTCAAATGATTCAGCAAAATCTGTGTTTATCACACAATTATCTAAAACATCACTAACATTTTGAGTCAATACAATTACATTTGTTATGGTGGATCATGTTGTTGCTGTGATCTGGTATCTGTAGAGTAGGGAGGGTGAGTGTAGACTCACAGCACTTAGGCCACATGTGACCCATTGTACATCCTCCCGAGGAGTTGTCCTCCTAGGTTATCGTCCATCCTGTCCTTTCCAGGAAGGTGAAGAAACGAGACATCTCCTTTATATTGGCAGGTGTAGGCCAAGACTCGCCGAACACACACTCTCTTTGGCAACCTTGAGGTGTCTCACGGTGACCTCCGCGGTTTTGGAAGATGCAGCGATATTACTGTCGTTGCGCGGCTTTCAAGTTGGGGTGGACATTTCTGTTCATTTTCGTTGTTTCTGTTTTTGTGTTGTTTCATTCATGTGTTCCCACGAGTAGCAAGGAAAGGTCACCTCTGACAGAGCCCCGCATTACCAGAGGTAGTCTGATTAAAATGAGGTTTCGCCCAGTTCCCCAACGGGATCGTCCGTGACCGCATACTACTCTGCGACGATTCAGCTGTCGGCACGATTCCTTACACCTTAGCTTGGGTAGGCTGGTCTATGGTGGCATGCTTTGCAAAGGCTTTTGGGGGTTTTTAGTTTCCCTCAACCTGCTTATTTCTGCCACTGACCAGGAGTCCGGCGACCCCGTCCGTAAGGCCACATTGGCTTCCCGGACAGGGCCTCCAGTCCCCTGGCCGTTCCCCTATCCGCCACCTGAGGACGCGCCCGATATAGGTAGCCGAACCCACGAGTTGTTGCTGTGATATGATATTACAAAATGAGCAGTGTACGCGATTATAGATGACAATTTCGAGAAGTATAGGTTCGGAAGAATTTAAATTGGACGGTAATTCCGAATATCATATGGATTTCCAGACTTGGGATATCTTCCATAATTCAAGAAAAGTATAATTTTCAACTGCAATATTGAAAAATGTAAGTAAAATGGTGTGATGATTATGCTCGCTAAATATCATTTTGATGATATATACTAATTCCTGCATCACTCTTGTTTGCTTTGACGAGAATTACTAGATTGTTTTATTCCGTAACATACACATCATAAATTCGGCAAAACAAGTCATATATCTTCCATTAGGAAAATATGAAATAATCAGACAAAGCAGACTTAACTTTGATGTCAAAAAAATCAAGATATACTAATTTTCTTATTCATAGTGTATTACAATACACTCTAGGCATCGTGGGCTCAACTATGTATTTGATTATAAACATTTATAAAAAAGTGAAACTTGAAAAAAACTTACGACAAAAGACCTTGCTGCCACGAATATAACATCTTCATTATGCCCTAGACACATAATTGACTATTTTTCCTATCCCAGTCAAATTTTTCGAAAATTTGAGGCTTGGCATTTCAAATTTTGCTATATCATTTCCTGAAAATCATTTGAGAATCCATAAAATTTTTTGAGGAAGCAAGCATATATTCAGAATCCACTGTTGCCTAGGAATTTGACCAAAATGGATATAGCGAGTTTTGCAATGGCACGCCTCATTTATTGATGTGATTTTTCTGTTGATACATCAACCAACCATGAAATATTGAATCGATTTCTTTATAATGATAGAGAAATAGAAAACCAAAAGGTTTTATGCCAAAAACTAATATCTTTACAAATATTCCGTTTCCGACTATTTTCTTTTCCCTACTACTTGGTTTCATTTGACATGCCCGTTTCTTCGAAGTCTCGGGAAAACACCGCAGCCTTATGGGCTAAGTGCGTTTTCCCCCCATTTTCTTCATGACACCCATTTCAATAACTTTGGTCCCTGTACTAGTGTATACAGGTCTTTTGCTGGATGTATGTCATATTCTTCTGTCTCTGCCCTTTTGTTGCATTGTTTGCAGCTAAGGTTTCCGTTGTACAGTTCCTTTTTGTCATTCCTCCCAATGGATAGTGTGGTCCATTGGGAGGACAGGTACTTTTACAATGGTTTACTCTTTCGTGTTCCCGGGTAAATTTCTCCAGTACTCTTTACGTTCCTTATATACCCACTTCTCAATTCGGTTCGGTACCATTAAAGACTTTGATACCCCCATCAGCTTTTCAGTTAACTGTGACATCTGAGTTTTCCGGCACCCAGAATGTGAAAATATTGATTCGTTCATTTCCTTGTGGCCTCAAAATTAATGTTGCGCATTACAGGATTGTTTACAGTTCAATCTGGAAGTTTTTTGTGTAAAGAGTGGGTAACTGAAATCAAGATTTCTCCCCACATAGTGAATTCCAGCTGCCGTCATATGTTCGTTTTTCGACCCGTTTGTATAACAGATGCTTTTGCCGAGCATGTTATCAGGATTACTGTTATTCATTCTTCACTCCTTGCTGTTTGAGACTTAAACCGCGAAGTTTGTGTCGGACATGAATTTTGCATGAGGTCCAAGAACATGTTTGATGTTCGTTTCTCCGTATATTCTAAAATTTCTGTTTTATGTCCGATTCCATGTAACACTTGGTTGATTTTCCAGTCTTAATTGCTCCACCCTTACTTTCCCCATCATTACGAGATGTGAAGGAGGAAAATTCAGAGAGTGTCTCTGATACAACTAGGAGTTGTTTTCACTACCTTGACTAGTTTACCTTGATCAGTTTGTCAATAGCAGTCGTTTGTTTCATCTCTGGCCGCCAGAAAATAAATTCCTATGTCATCATGGTTTTAATCACCATGCTGTAGAGTCTATATATCATGTCTGGTTTCAGCTCCCATGTGTTACCGTAGGTGCGCCTGGCCTGCATCACTACCCTTGCTTTTTTTCACTCTTTCTAGATTCCAAGTCATTAATGGATCTAGTAACACTCCCAGATAGGCCAAGAGTCCTTCTGTCTTCTCGATGAATACTTTTATTGTTAATTTCATCAATTTCGTTGGACATATATTTGCCCTGAACTTAGAGGACCAACTCGTCTGTCCAATGATAGCTCAGTACTATATCTTCATCAGGTTCCAGGAGACATAGTAGCATGGACATTACACTGTTCAAAATACGTCATCTATTTCGAAGAAAACAGCTTCCATGTTCTTGTAAAAATATTTTGTTTTTTTTTTTGTTACCCATCGAACAACCAGATCTGTAAGTATATTGATCTCGTGCAGTGGTTTGGCAACCGGTGCCTGGCATGTAGTTTTTCTATAGTCTTTAATGTAAATGACTGATCGGTCTCAAGACTTTCGCCGAATCTTGTCCGATTTTTCCAGGTTTCGGAATGAAGGTGGCCCTGATCAGTCTCCGAATTTTTGTTCCAGAGCCAGGGTTAATGCCATCTGGCCTATTTGATTTTCTCCAAATCTACAGCCAATACTTCGTGGACATCTTTTTAGTTCTAAATTTATTCAGAAATTGAAATTTCTGATCCGGATCAGAAAATTCCTGTTTTTGTGTATTTCCAGGTATTTCTATCTAGATTATTTATTGAGACCTAAGGTCCTTTCAAGAGTATTTTATAGATTCTGGTGTTTACTTGGATCTGTTCGACCTACTCATTGCCTTCTTCATGAGCCACTGCTATATATTTTTTCAGGGGTTTGCTGCATTCAGTTAAAAATATTTCGTGTTGAATCCAGATACTTGATGCAAAACCTTTATTCCACCAGGAAACATTCCTGGTGGAATGAACGTTATATAAAATATATGGATTCTACTGACTTAATATGAGGTTAATTTCGAAATTAAAATTTTTCTAGGTGGGTTGTCATAGTCAGATAAATGTCGTATTTGTGTGATTTGGGGTGTAATTGTTCATTATAAATAAAAACACAAGCAAGGAAAATCCTTGAGGCGATCTTAGAGCGGTGCTTGTGCGAAAGTAGTGATTCACATTGGATTTGATACGCTTTAGATTGAATCCATACGATGAGCAGCCAGAGTCCATCGCGTATTTCTGACGATATGTACCGTTCTTGGTGGGATAAAATGTGCCAAGTCACTTGAACACTTCCGGTGAAAGTATGTATATAGAAGAGAGACGAACCCCAACTTTTCTTCGATGTTTCAGACTATCAGGGTTGCAAGTGATGTTGGTATCTCCAATCAGGCGGATGGCTCTTTTCTGGATAGTATCCAGCAGCTTCAGGGTATACTTCCATACATAAGAACAGTACTCCAAAGAAGTTCTGATCTGAGGTTTTTAAAACATCAAAAGTTTCTGGGGTGTGTACAGTTTTCTGGTTCGGAACAGTGTTCGAAGCTTTATAGAAGCAGCCTTAGCAATTCCAGCGACATGATTGTGCCAAGACATAGGTATTGATGTCCATTTTCACCCCCAACAAACTTATCGAAGCAGAAAGCGGAATTGCCTGATCTGACACTATCATATACGGTATCTTTTTGGAGAAAACCGATGCCTGGGTTTTTGTGGCATTGAATAGAACCTGAGAAATTAAAATGAAAGAACTTCACTAATGGCAATATTTTGAGGTACAATGTTGAATGGGTTCACAATGTAGGGGGAATAAAAAAGTGGAGGTGACATACTTTTAATTAAGTGGAATTGTTATTCGTTTAATCAGTGCTATTTCAGGACCCTTCCTCGCATTACCATTTCAAACATACTCATCACGATTATCCGTTGTGAAATTCATCGCCAATTCATTATAATAACGAAAGGAAAAGCGAACTATCTCAATCTCAAATATAGAATTTTATATCGAATGAAGTGTTTTGAACTGAAGTACTTGATAATTATCCAAGTTCTGCTTAGTATAAAAAGTGGCTCAATGATTTTGTGGTCTCATTGAGGTTTTATCTGTGAGCTGCCATAATGAACATATCGACACTTTTGGTTTTAGTTACAACTATTTCGTTTGCTGTGAGTATATTTGTCATTGTTCTGTCGCTTATTTATATTTCGAATGTATTCAAGAGTACAAAACTTTTCATACTTAATGGTTTGGCCCGATTTAGAAACTTGAGTTTCGATATGACGTGGAATAACTGAGTGTTATATTCCTGAGTGCTCGGTTTAATTTATTGAAATGTGCGCAAATCCATGATTTTTGGAATTGTTCTTAGCAAATGATTTGAGTGTATAATAATTTGATAAAATCACGAGAAATTTCAACTTGTATTTTGATGAATTGAGTTTGGTGTTCGAAGGGTATATGTTGAGATTATTTCCAGAAAAAGAAAAGAAGCTGCATCGTCTCCAACTCTGTCGTTTTTGTGCATTTAGAGAAATAATCAATAGGCGCTCGTATCGTTTTGAAATATTTGATATTTACATACGGATTTTACTGTTTAGATTTCCGGCTGCTCTAATTTCACTCGTACCATTTCAGAGACAAAATTCTATAAAAGTATATTCCTGAAACCGATTTGCGATTTGAGATATACGGGTCGATTTTTATTTACTTTTTATCTAATTCAAAAATGTATTGTATGATGCTTTCAATTGGTACAGGAAGGACAATTCCAGAATTGCAAGTTTTGCAAACTAAAAAAAATGAAAAAATAAAAAAAAATTAAAAGGAATTATTTACTGTTATTATACTACTCTGATGAACACTTTTATTATTTGTCTCTTGATTACGTCTTATATTGTTTGAGATATTGTTTGCCATTCAACGTTAAAAACTGTAATTTCTTTTATATATTGTTAATGATTTGTAGTTGAAGTAATAGCATCGTTTTGAACACACTTCTATTTTGACTAACTTTAAACGGACAGATTAATTTTAAACTTTGTACACTTATCAAGAATCGGTGACAATATAATAATTGCATAAGTTTATCTCATTATCCCAACTAAAAGTGGAAAATAAATAATAGTTTACATATTTAAAAAACACGCTTCAATAGTAACACAAACTAAAAAATAAAACATAATTCGAAACTATTTTAAAGTTGTGTTCGACATCGATAATAAATCTTATGGCTTTAAATTAGTCCAAAATCAGAATAAATCTATTTACAAAAAATTATTTTTATTGTGAAAAAGCGTGGGGTGCTGAATATCCATTGTTATGAATACTTGGTTAGAAGCTGTTTGCCAGATTGAAGCCATAATAAAAATATAATTTTTACAACAAAATGAATTTTTTCCAAATAGATCTATTTTGATTTCAGACTTATTAAAAGTCATCCGTTATATAGAAATCAATTGAAAGAACTAAGATTATGAAAAAAAGAAAAGAAAAAAAACATCAAAGGTGCTGCTCCGTTCCCTCCTGTTCATAAAAGAGGACATATGCCTCATTGCTCACAAGTGATTTTGGGGAAATTGGGAACACGTGTGTATTCATGCCACGTGCCACTATATGGATGTCTGCAATATGCTGTGTAATGTCCGTTGTAAGTAGTCCCACTGTGATTTGAAAGTGCATATAGATTATAACGACAAGGAGCCACATTGTCTGCATAACTGCTCATATCTAATCCATCTGAAAAAAAGTCAATGGAAACATTCAATTTGCCTCTGAACCTTTCCGTCGGAGATAATTTTTTCAAATGAATTACTAAAATACGGGGAAACTTATAGATTGACAAGGACTTTGTACATTTTCTCCTTTGCTTGCACCTCGAACACATTGGTTTTTCATCTCCATCCAGAGTTTCCTCTCTTGTGAAGGAATCCAAGCAATGTGACAAACTCACTTTGTGGTATGGGAAGGGACAAATCCCAGAAAGGATCAAAGGTTACTGATGAGTGTCCACAGTGTGTGTACTTCATAGTGGATTTTAATTGACCAACGAAATAGTCTACAATCTTAGAGTTGTTCATATTCAAATATCTCTGCCAGGACTCTTGTGCTTTTCCGTTATCGCTCAATTTTTCGTCAATCTCAGTTAAGATTGGTTCAGGTTTCTCAGTAATTTTGTTGAGGTCCTCATGTAAACCTTCTGAACGATATCGAAGGAATTCGTGGGCGTCTTGATGGGCAGAACCCATGTATCGAGGGGCAAATCTTTGAATCTGATTTTTGAAGTAGACTGTGTTGATTACTCTATCAGATGAATCTTCTGACCATAATTCCTTGATAACTTCTGCGAACGATTTGATTAAAACACCTTTCATACTAGATATCTTCCATGTATGCATCCTTTTTTAGGTATTCCAGCAACCATCCCGTGTTTGATAAACATTGATTATACTGTTCATGAAACAGGTGTTTCCAAGATTTTTTAAACCATTAAACCCAAGAGTTTTGATTGTAGAATGTATCACCGATCTATTGTTGCAACTACGTTTGCCACTACTATCTTCTTCTGAGTAAACACGGATAGGATGATTCACCCCTTCATTGAACTGGTAGGATAAGGAATTCGAAGCAAAACTGCTCACAACTGAATTAGATATTAGTTCTTTCGAGGGCTCAGCCAGAGGATCAAACTCAGACTCATTTAGAGTTCCAACTTCCTTTTCTGTCAAAGCTTGACGGTTTTACTGCGAGTCTTCCACCAAACTTGCACAACTCTAGTTCTTGCACTGTCTGTACATGCCGATATATTTTGTTCATGGGAAACATTGATAATTCACTTAGGTTTTTTGATTGAGGAATTGTACCTAAACATGAAGCTGCATTTCCTCTTTGAATCAGAATGCTAATTTTTTGACTCAAGAAAGAGGTAGCTCTTGGGTCATTCGTTTCTTTGGATATCCTAATGCCGATTTCACGAATGAACTCCAATGCTTGGGGGCCTAAGGTACCAAATGTTTCGATTCCTATTGCATAAAAATGAAATTATTTCCCAAATAATTGTATTTCCGTGTTTTTGACAATTCCGCTGATGAAGCTGCTGCCACAGGACTTATTATCGATGTTGAACACAGTCTTAAATTAGTTTAGAATAACTTTTTTACAACTGTCATTAAAAGTGTCATTTTTTATGGTTGTCAAGAGTATGGAAAGATGATGTTTACAAAGTAGCATGTTAAAAATATTCGTAACACTAGTATTGAAAGTATTTTCAACACGATTTTCTGAGCCGATTTTTTGGTAACAATTCAATTGAAGTTCTTTTTGCAGCCTCTTCAATATCGCCAGAAACACACAACTCCTCACTATTCTAGTTCTGATGGGTGTAAGAAGTATTTTATTATATTCTTTCTATACCAAGTTGGGATGAGGAATTTGATCTCTTATCAATCGGATACCGTAAAATGGGGTGACTCGGAACGTTTTGGTCAGGTTATTGGTCTTGAACCGTCGTCTACGTTATTTGAGTTTGTATAAAATACATAATACATTACTTTGGACTAAAAGGAATATATGGCAGGCATTGAAAAAATTCAATGCCTGGCCAATTTTTGTGAAAAAAATTTCAAATTTGATTTTTCAAGTCGCTCTATTCTGGGGCGACATGAAACGTCAATTCTTGGCTCAATGTTTAAGATATAGTCGCATGGAAGCGACATGGAATGAAGAATATCGAAAAAAATCGTCGAGTTTTGCCAGTTGAAAAAATACCTGACATCAAGAATGAAATACATTGTTCCACATTTTTTCAATGAGAATTATCTCACACAATAGTGTTTTTCTAGAAATAAATACACGGTCATCTGGGGCAAACCGTATGTTCCACTTAAAAATAACAAAACTTGTGAAAATTTAAAAAAAAACTCTTCAGAATAAAAATTTGAGCATATTCAGGTGTGCACATTGGTAATAAGTAGATTTTTTTAAGGAATACTTCCAGTCAAATTTAAGTTGTGCCTTTCTGAATATTTTGGGTTTTTTTATACTTTCTGATGATTTCATGGGCTTCGCCAACTGAGTTGTCCTCTATCACAGAAAATATAACTGAATCGGCCACCATATTGCTTTCCCTCAAAAATGAACAGATGAACGATTTCCCAGCTAGCTAGATGATTTGGGCAACGAATTATTTTGTTCCCCCGGCCATAGTCTCCAGCGCGACTAATACGAAATCGTCTACTTCATCATTATCAGTCTCAGTCTTCTCACTCTTTGTATTCATGACTTCACCCGTCTCTGTTTAAGTCTCAATAAATGTTCCTTCAGTCTGTTTGCTATCTTCAAAAACTTTTATTTCTTTTTCAAGATCAGAAAAAGACTCGCTTATGTCTGTTATATCATCGAGTTCCATCTTCATGTGACCCTCACTTTCAGAAGAACTGATGTCCAGTTTATAACGATTATTTTTCTTCTTTTTCTTCTCTCCTTTTTTCACATCAGTCACTCTTGAAGTTCTCGATACTCGTGCGAATATGTTTGATACTGGAGCTACATTTTTGTTAGTGACGCTTTTGCCAGCTTCCACTTTGAGTTTTCCAATCGGTGGGCCTGCTCTATCAAATTTGTGTTCTCAAAATATATTCTTCAAAGAGGATGCCATACGCTCTTCAGCATCATTATGGGATACGTTCTCCTTGGGAAGTTTAGCAAGAATTTTACCCCTGACAAGTGGAACTATTCACGTGGCTTCAAATCCTGATCCCCATTTTACGGTATCAATATGGCTATGCCCAGAACATCTGCTGAAAGTGAATCTATAATCGAAAAAGACAAATTATTTTCGACACTGTTACTTGTTATTCTGAATTATCAGCAGAAGCAAAGATAAATAATACGAGTATTTGTAAAACTGTTTAGTAAAAATCTCACAATAAAGTGTTTTTTGAATACGTCAGTTATGGATTTTCATCAAGTATCGGCCAATTCCATCATATATTTTAATCTTTCGATCGTAGATGAATACCTCTTCAAATTTCACATGATTATGATAAGAAATCAATTCTTGATAAGGAATTACGACGATAACATTATTAATTTTTTTAAAAACGTTGCAAATCTGAATTACAAAAGATTATTGAAGAAGTGACAGCAAGAATGTGAAAGAATGTAAAACACAAAAAGGGAACCAAACGAAATCTCCAAAAAAAAACCATTACAAAATATTTCATTATAGGTGATAATCAAAAATTGAAATAGAAGAATATTGCACATAAAAAAATCAAGCACAAGAACAAGATGAAGTTTCAAAAGATCAATTCTTATTCTCCAAATTCAAACACCTGTTAATGCAGCTGCAGTTTCCGATTTCCTGAAGTGTTAGAAGCCCACTATATACTCGTTAGGACAACAAGAAGATTGTTCCGAATTCTTGGGGTTCTTGTTGAATACTCTTCGTGAGCAAAACGATAGCAGGAAAAATACTGGAAAAATCCTCACTTTGTACTAAGTGTTCAAGAGGTAGCAAAAACGTATGTGAATTTCTGGAACTTGAACTAGCGTCCGTGCAAAGCTTATTATTCAATCATCTGAAAATGGAACTTTTAACAGGTGATGATCGACTGTATTGCCAAACATGCGCCAAACTAACTGACTTATAAGAAAACAAGTATAGCTGAGCACTGATAATCTTCAAACATGCCTCAATCTCTGACGGAAGCACCAAACTCTTATGAAGGTTCGAAAAAGATGAACACTTCAATCTAGCAGACCACTATTATAATCTTCTTGCAGTCATTGTTCACTGTAGTTCACTGTAGTCGTGTCACTAAGTGTTCTGGAGATGTATTGAATTTATTGGAGCCTCTGGAGACATCTTACACTTCATTTTATGAAAGAGAGGACATTGGCAGATCAAGATCTTCAGATGATGTGGTGCTGCAGGTTTTTCCGGGGTTTCCTGCAGCTGAAAAAGTAAATGCGCCACTGGAGTCAATGAAGTCGCCCCTGAGCGCCAATTATTTCAGCTTACCTTGTTGTACTCGAAATTAGTTACTGCGGAAACGATTTGTTGAAATAAACATCAAATCGAATCAATGAATTCCAGATCAAATGATTATTTTCACATTCCTGTGACAGGAATAATTATTTATTCATTTTGTTCCCTTTCTATTTTATCACTTTCAAAGTAGTTCCCCTTAGATGTGAATATATGATAAAGAAAATAAGTTTTATCTGATTTCTAATAAATGTTTTCTTTGCTACGACCGGTTTCGGTTTCTTAAACCATTCTCAAGTTTACTTGAGAATCTTCAATTCTCGTGGCGTAATGCATCAAGAGTTCTTGCTACATGACCGTACGGTCAAAAAGGAGTATTATCTTGAAGTTCGCCGCTTGCGAGAACCAATACAAAGAACACGATATTGTGGGAAAACAATTCGTGGCTTTTGCATCACGATAATGCACCTGCTCACTCATCATTGCTTGTTTGTACTAAGGCCACTGTATTCACCAGATTTGCCCCCCTGCGACTTTTTTTATGTTTCCAAGATTGAAAGACCGGCGTTTTACGAAGATTGGGGAGATACAAACCGAATCGCTGAGAGAGCTCAAGGACATATCAAAAAGTGCATATTAGAACTGTTTCGAGGATTGAAAAAAACGCTGGCACAAGTGTATTATATCTGAAGGCGATATGTTGGAGGGGATAACATACAAATTGATGAATAAATGGATATTTCTTGAGAAAAATGAAAACTTACCTTATTTTTTGAACAAACCTTGTATATGAATTTGAAATTTCATTTTATTCGAGCAAATGTTATATTGAGTACAAAAAGTCACTGGAAGTTCAATCTGTTTAAAATCTGTTTTTCCGTTAATCAGCTGTCATCAATAAATATTTCTTTGAGATAGGTGGACAATAATTCTTACCAAATAAAATATCAAAATAATTGTAAATATTCCTCCAAGTGTTCCTTCTTGTGGATGATTTCAGCTTGAGCCCACTTGATTTTATGTTGATGAGTCCAAACATGCTCTGCTATTCCTGATTTGTTGGTTTTTCCTCGCTGTGTGTGTTTCTTGTGCTCGGCAATGCAACATTAAATGGGAAACATCTGTATATCGAAAACCCACTCACACATGACAGTATTTGAACCAGGAATCCAACCACCATCAATCGACTAAGAGAGGAATCATCAAGACTCTACAAGACCGTGATTCCGAACTCTGTAATACAAAGGAAGGTCTCGAAAAGGAACTAGACATCATCAAAAAATGACCTTCAACGGAATGGTTACTCCAAAGTGATAGTGGAACAGGCTTTAGCTAAGACAGCAAGGAAGAGAAGCCGTCACAACCAGTACTTGTACTTCCCTACATCAGAGGATTGTCGGAAAAGATTAGAAGGATTTGGTCCAAGTATAACATTATAACCTGTTTCAGATCTGAGAACACTATCCGTAGCAGCCTTACGGAAACTAGGCCACCAAGCGCGGACTGCGATTCCAAGAATTGCATTTACCGGATACCCTTGAGTGCGGAGAATCATACATCGGTGAAATTAAGAGGCCATTGAAAGTTCGCATTGCCGAGTACAAGAAACACACACAGCGAGGAGATACCAGCAAATCAGAAATAGCATAGCATGTTTGGACTCATCAACATAAAATCAAGTGGGCTCGAGCTGAAATCATCCACAAGGAGGAACACTGGTTCAGGAGAAAATTTAAAGAAGCCGCATATATGTGGTTCAACAACGCATTTAGCCAAGCTAGCGTAGAGATACTCAACATATCGACACCTCTAATAAAGCGGAACACGACCAACTCCCGCCAAACGGTCAGCTTCCGCTAAAACCGATGAAGCGAAGAGAGGGAAGAGGGGATAGGTGAAAGCACTCGAATGACCTATAAATAGTCAGATATCTGAGGAACAAGTCCAGTTATCAATCGAAGACGATTGTGGATACTAACAATCGAAACGTCGAGAAGTAACTTGATTTGGAATCTTTTAATTTTCAATTTTCATTTCAAATTAATAATTTTTTTAAATTTTCATCTCGTGTTAATAGTCCCTTTTTTTATTTTTTTATTTTTGCTTGTATTTTATTTCATTGTAATTTCAATTTTTTGCTTGATATAATTGTTATTTTTCAGCTGGCCTTTTTAATTTTCACATATTCTTTCAGGAATTTCAAATCAATTTATATCATATCAGACAATGGAAGTCCAACTAATGTCATTTTCAATGCATTTTCATTTCAAGTCACAATATTATTATTTTTTTTCAAAATCGAGTTTCAAAGCTGTTAACGCCATTGAAGACAATGGACGGCCGAACTTGAATCATTCAATCAGTCAATTCAACCCCATTTTTCCTTCACGATACGAAAAATGATTATTCGGAATATTATTTGGTTTGCGTTCTCATGAGAAGCAAATCCTAAAATGAATATCAAGATCAGTCCAGACTTCGAATGTGCAACCATTAAAAATTGTAAAAGTTATGACATATATTGCAGGTGGCAGATATTTTGGTAACTATTCCTAATGGAAAGCTAAGAGGACGGAAAGAATATTCCCAAAGAGGAATATCCTTTTACGCCTTTCAACAAATCCCTTATGCTAAACCACCCGTTGGAGAATTACGTTTCAGAGTAAGTATGAAGTGTTTCCCAATCGTTGAAATAATACAGTTGAAAATAATTAACCAGTTCCTTTTTTTGTTTTATTCAACTCATGTCATAATATTTCAATTTCTATTTCTATTGTTTTCAAGGAACCTCTACCTCCTGACAATTGGAATGGCATATTGGACGCAACCTATAATGATAAATCCTGCATACAATTCGGCAACTATTATAATGTAAATATAAGTAACTACGAAAATGAGGATTGTTTATATCTTAACGTCTATACACCAGAAGTGAGTATAAACATTTAAAATTTAATTTAATTTTTTTTTCAAAGTAGGTGAGTATTCATTTCTTTGAAAATATATTTGTGTTCTTGTTTGGGATTACAAAAAGACTCCATATGGGATAATCTAAATTATTTTGTTTGAATGAAACTATTGAGGTACGGAAACCTGAGTGGCCATGCCAAAAAATTTGACCAACATCAAAAATGAATATTACTGGAGTTTTTTTTCCCAACACCAAATCGTTATTTTCAACACCTCGACACGTGTTTCGATCACCAAGTCATCATCTTCAAAGAGGAAGATTAAAACTAGAAACTAACCCTATTTATGCTATATAGATATCCCATACAGGTGAACCATTCAGGTGCACCACCCATACAGGTATACTAACCTAAATTAATTTTTCAATTTTTCCTTATCTATTATTTTACAATATATGTTTAACTGTTATATCTGTATATAGAACAATTTTCAGCTATATAAAATTAATTTCAGAATATTGCCTATCTAAATTTATTTTTGCAATGTGTCCTTATGTAGTAATCAGTAAACCCAACAATATTATTTTAACAAGCTATATAGTATGCTCTTTGGTATAGGTCCGTCATCGTTATTCATAATGTTATTGTGTTTACTTATTTCTACACTCTCATAGGCATCTAGTTGCCTGTTGTTGTTAACTTGTCTAACTAATCTTAATGAACTGAAGTCTATGGAATGGTTTTGTTGCAAAATATGATGGGCGACTGCTGATTTTTCAGGTCTTCCATATTTTAAGTGTGCTATGTGTTCCTTATATCTTACTTTAATAGATCTTTTTGTCTGTCCATAATATTTTGCACCGCAGTGCTCACATTCAATTTCGTAAATTCCAGACTTTTCTGAATTCTCGACTTTGTCTTTTGGACTTCTTTAGAATACGATATATTTTCTGTGATAATATATTTCATTGTACACAATGGGAGGTGATAAATCCTGTAAGAAGTTGGAATATGAATGGTAGGTGGAGTTTATTGGTTTTCTAACCAGCTATGACTCATACCGACGCAGATTACGAATTCACGTTTCAACATTCCTCCAGTAGGCATTTTTGAAACATCGCATTTGATTTGTAGCAGTGAATGGCCGAAGATCAGAATATATGTTTGCGGAGTTATATACAGGGCGTTCCAACAAAAACTTGACCCGGAAGTGTAATAGAAACTTTCAAAGAACACGTCAATTTTTATTTCTAGGAGGAATAATTCTGATATGAAAATCATACCCGAAACTTCAACCCCCTCGGTCAGCATTTCCCCCCTATTTTTTCAATGTTATGGGGGTCGAGTGATATATAATTTGAAAAGTCGTCTCTCCTCTTATTACTTCTGTGACTTTTTTCTAAATTGGTTGATTCGTTATTGAGAAATTGAATGTTGAACGTTTTATTTAAGAGAAAAAAATTCGCTATCGCTCATTTTATTGCGGAAATCAACAAAAGTAATATCAGTGGCAACACAATCAATGGATAAAGTGTTCAAAATTACCTCCATTCAGTTCCATACAGTAATACAGTCTACTTCCGAAAGCAATTCTTTACATTATTGAAGATGTCCGGAGTCAGAAATCAACATTCCCGAACAATTATCTGTTGTAGGTCTTCTAGATTTGTAGAATTTATTTAATTAGTGAACGTTTTGACTAGTGAACGTTTTGAAATGGACGACACTGTTAGTTTTCTCTGCACTGGTGGTGTCTGCACTTCATTCGCAGAACAAAAAGAAGATAGTTGGCCACTGTCACTTCTTCACGAATTATTATTAAGTCATCCTTGTTCACTGTGTTCCAACATGGAATAAAAATTGTTGTAACCTATTATCGAAATAATGAATATGCTAAAGCTGCTGCAAGAATTTATAATACGAATCATCCAGACCATAACGTGGGCCATCAATACGTTAACAGAAGACCTGCGACAGAGAATTGTTTGGGAATGCCGATTTCTGACTCTGGACATCTTCAATAATGTAAGAAACGCTTTCGAAAGTAGACTGTATTATTGTATGGTACTAGATGGAGGTCATTCTGAACACTTTATCCGTTGATTGTGTTGCCATTGATATTACTTCTGTTGATTTCCTCAATAAAATGTGCGACAGCGAATTTTCTGTTTTTTCTTAAATAAAACGTTCAACATTTGATTTCTCTATAACAACAAAACTATTAAAAAAAAATCACAGAAGTAATAGAGGAATAGAAGACCTTGCAATCATTCACCCCCACATATGCCATTGAAAAAAATAGGGGGGGTAGTTGCTGACCGCAGGAGGGTAAAGTTTCGGGTATGATTTTCCTAGAAATAAAAATTGACGTGTTCTTTGAATGTTAAAGCAGTCAAGCTGCTGGAAAATAATTTCATGAAAATCAAAAGATGAGATGAGTACTATTATGTCACTTTTCTCATTCTCCAGAACTGCAGTTCTCTTCTCGACGCGCGTTTTACCAACCAAATTGGCTTTTTCAAAAGATTTACTTCACGCCAGAGGTTCCAGTTTTGGGGTTATTCTGCTTAAAAGCTACAAAAGTGGTTAAAATCGCAGACGGCTGCAACATCATTATAATTATTATAAACTTACTTAAAGTGTTGCGCCTTTTATAAGTGGTTTTACTTGATTGAAGTTATTTTTGCATTATTCGTTGTACAGATACAATGTAAATCATCATTTCTAACAAATCTTTTAAATTTTCAGTTCCCTTCCACCAATCTATCTCTTCCTGTTATGTACTTTATATATGGAGGAGGATTTTTGAATGGTGCTGCTAATTTTGAATACGCTGGTCCTCATTATTTGTTGGAGAGTGGAGTTATTGTTGTAACTGTGAATTATCGAGTAGGTGCTTTCGGTGAGTATTTTTTATAAATAAAACTAATAGTCAACGGCATGTTCATACAACAAGGTGGAACAAAATTAACGTGGGAAAGCATCTCTTTAGTAATTTTTCAATAATAAGATTTTTACTATATATGTTTTATAAAAACCATGACACGTGTTCAATAGCTTTCTCATTCTCACTTGAAGAAGCTATTGTATAGTGAAACACGTGTCGCGGATTTTGTAAAACACTTCTGTGAAAAACGTACAGTGAATTCCATCAGTTATTGTTAATATGGATTTTCAACATCCAATTTTTTAGTATATTTTGATCAAAAAGAAAATCATCTGTTGCCGAGAGGGTGCTAACAATTTTCCTATACAAAGGAGGGTCTTGTAATACCTAGTCTGATAGTTATTTTTATTCTCTATTCAACGATGTTTCATTAATTTTAAAATTGGATTAGCCGTTTCGGAATAATTAGCAGTTGAATATTCATTTCAAGAATCTGAAAACAAAGAATAAATATTCAATATTCAAAATCATTTCAAGAAAAAATGTATTCAAAATTTCAGTTGTGTGTGGCAAGTTTACTGAACAGAAAAGGATTGCCCAAATATGACTTTACAATACGAATAACACGTTCATATTAAAAAATGTACATGAATTTTACTGGATACTGATGCCATTAAACATAAACATGCAACTCACCCTTATATGAGGGTATAGTATTTCCAACACCAATTGGAACAGCACAGACAGGGAATTCCCGCCTTGACATAGGCGTCGGCATATTATTTTTCAGTGGTAATTTTTCAGTTACTTATTCTTACAATCATAGCAATTGATCACCCCATGAAAAAGTTATCTCAACCGAATTTTTCCACCATGGGTCATTATGAAAAACGAAATTTAGGGTAGTTGATTTCCGAGTCGAAAACTCTAAAATACAATGAAAACACAAATAATCACACCGAATTCTCGTCAAACATATATTTACAGAATAATAGAGGCCAACAAAATTGCCAGAAAAATCAAAATTCTTCTCCCTATATTCGGATGAGGTGGAATCATCATCGGGTTGAATAACGATCGGATTTATGAAACTTTGCACATATTTGTTCTCTTCCTTTTATTGTGGGCCACACAGTTCTTCCACACATCACTATTACCTAGTTCATTCACCTCTCGCCTTATATTGTCAAGCACTACAGCATTCAAAGTCGGTGACTGATTACATTTCCGCAAGCTTTCTTTCATTGTGGCCCAAACCATTTCAATTGGATTGAACACACAATACTATGGAGGCAAACGTAAGAGAATATGACCACGTATTTCACACATCGAATCAATAATATACTCTTTTTTGAAATTACGTTGTTTTATGGTCGCCAGTAATACCTTTTTCGTCAACAATATCTGCTTTTTGTGTTATTGTTTGGTATTGTAGTCAATAACCGAGAATGTTAAGAAGCGTTATCCATAACAATACCCGAGTTTGGAGGAATATTTGGGAGAAGCTGCTCACTGATGCAGGTTTCCAATAAAGCCACAGGCATATCTTCGTGGTAATCAGCAGACGAATCTTTTATATTTTTGGCCGACAGAAGAAAAGCGTTAGGTACGAAACCACTTTCATTCCCGGCATGCAAAATTATAACACGTTTTCCCCTTGAAGAAGGTATGTTCAAAGCACAATACTTGGTTTCGTTTACCCAGCCGTATTTGACAACATCATGGGTGTCAAACCAAGTTTCGTCGAGGTAGATTATATGTCTGCTGGATTCTTGGTAGCTTTTTATTAGCCTCATATATTCTTGTTGGAGTTGAACAATGCGTGTCGATTCCATTATGACTTTCCGATTGTTCAATTTTTTATATTTGAAACCACAATACAATAAGACACCTCGTAGAGTTTCTAAAGATTTGTAATTGTAATCGGGATAGTCGAGTAATTTATACCAAATCATTTCCAAGGTTGGTACTTCATTTTTTTGGTATATACCATAAATTGTTCGCCAAATCACATCTTTTGTAGCACCATCAACGTTTGCAATTTTTTTATTCCTTTGTTTTCGTTTCATTGCATGGTCAATGACATCTCCTATTTCAATGACTCGAAGAACTGTCGAACGAGATAGTTTCGTTAACTCGCATATTCTATTCACAATAGCATTATGTGAAGTGTGACAGTTTTCCTTCTTCAAGCATTCATGAATATTTAAAATTACTCGCTGAACTTGAACATGTAAATCCTTATTTTCAAATTTCGGATCACTGTCGATTGACACAGATTCCTCACACGTAATGTTATCATTTGTTTGAAAAGGTCTCCAGAAGCCATATTGTTGAAAGTATCCAAAAACACTAAGATTCTCACAAAAATCGGTTTAAACGATGAGATTGGAACCTTTGGTGTAAAAGTTGACAACTTTTTCTAGAGATCAATTACCCTACCACCAAACTGATATTTTTGCACTCGACGCGCGTTTCGCTAACAAGGTTAGCATCTTCAGGAGAAGCAAATTGATACTGAATCTAAAGACGAGGGTTAGCTGTTTATATACCTAAATTTTTTTGGTCCGATGTGAACTTTGTTTGTTAAATGATAATTATCCTAATTGATTTTTTGGTAATTAACTAGTGGAACCACTATCTGCAAATTAATTTGTCAACAATAGATTAAAAAGCGGACAAATTAATTTACTTGTGAATTGCATTCTTATGCATGGTGGCATTGATATCAAGTAAAATTCAGGCGAGTTTTCGGATATGAGAGTGTTATTGAGATTATGAGTTTCCCGATCAGCAGTATTTCGTATTTCCTGTCCTTTGAAATTGCCCACATAGATATTTCGGCCCTGTATTGAGTGTCGCTTGTAGGTCGGCAGATGTATCGAATGCATCTAGCGATTTTGTGTGTTTTTTGAAGGCGAAACACAAGCACTACAGTAAAATCCTTGAGGCGCTCTTAGAGCGGTGCCTGTGCGAAAGTAGTGATTCACATTGGATTTGAATCGCTGAAGATCAAATCCGTTTGGAAAAACGTTCTCAGGAAGTTTATTCCATATAAACGCCGTTCTCCAAATGCTCTTGATGGAATTAAATGTACCAAGTCACTTGAATACTTTCCTTGAAAGTATATATAAAAGAGAGACAAATCTCCAACCTTTCTTCGATGTTCCAGACTATTAAGGTTGCAAGTGATGTTCGCGTCTCCAATCAGGCAGGCTCTTTTTTAGATGGAATCCAGCAGCTTCAGGGTACGTTTGGGGGCGTTTGTTTGAGAACAATACTCTAAAAAAAGTCTGATTTCAGCTTTATAAAGCATCGAAAGTTGCTGTGGTGTGTACAGTTTTTTTGTTCGGAACAGTGTTCCAAGCTTTTGAGAAGCAGCCTTTGCAATTCCAGTGACATGATTGTGTCAAGACATATTGGTAAACATTTCAACCCCCAACAAATTTATTGAAACAGAAAGCGGAATTGTCAGACCTGACATTATTATATCCGATTCGGAAATATTTATCTTTCTGGAGAAAACCGATGGCTGGGTTTTTGTGGCATTGAATTGAACCTGGTTACTTTCACCGCAATTCGAAATTACTTCCAGATCCTCATTTAGGTATTAAACCTCCAGCTGCCGTTGAACATATGCATTCGCAGCCGATCTCCTGGAATCCAAATGTAATGACGAGACAAGTGTGCTGTCGTTAGCAAAGCAATATATTGGAGACTTGGTTTTCTCCAATAAGTCGTTGATATACTGTAAAAAGAGGGTTTGAGACAATATGGATCTCTGGGGAACGCCAGCGTTGATGGTGAAAGTATTCGAGAGATATCCATTGACGGCAGTTTGCAGGGAACGTTCTTTCAGGAATCAGAGGCGCCATACACAAAAATGTTTCGACAAGTCATAGCATTGAAGTTTGGCCAGCAAACCCTCATGCCACATATCGTCAGAGGCCTTAGAAATATCAACCGCAATAGCTCGTGGCCCTCCATGTTTCTCGATTTCGTTTTTCCAAATATGGGAGATATACGATAGAAGGTCGCCTGTTGATCTTTGTTTCCGAAAGCCATATTGATGATCGCTCAAGATGTTGAAACCTTCCATCCGCTTGTGTTAGTGGTGGAAGTTTGGATTTGGAAATGTTCTGATTAACAGCTTTAGCTACCGACCAGAACCAGATCTAGGCCCGTTGGGATTGGCAAGTAGTGTATCCCTAAATCTCTGATTGTGAAGTTATTTGCTTTCATATATCCTGAGTTTGCATCTGTTGCGAGCATCTACAAACCTAGTTCGGTTTTCGGCACTGGGATTTTTGCGCCACTGTCGGTAGGCGAGATTTTTGGAGGCGTAAGCTTGCTCGCAATTTTTGTTGAACCAAGGTTTGCTATCTTAAATTGCATGGCATCAAAGTTTTGAGTAAGGTTGTTGTGTTCCCTCCTTTTAGTTGAAGAATTAATCTTATGAAAAAAAGGAATTCACAAGTGAAATATTACTCGATCCTGATATAAAAAGTTGACCAGACTTGATTTAGTACTGACTGTGGTTTTGGTAAGTGCCTGTTTGTTTGAAGATGTTAAGTCTTCTGATGTTGCAGAAATTGACCAAAAACAAAGCATTCGTGATCCAACAGACAGCGCTATTTCGACTCACCATAGGTCTCATCAGTGGTACTAAGCTGAGCTGTAGTAATGCTCCGTCGATCTGAAGGCGATTGCTTTATACTCCTAATGATACAATGATAATATAAATTATATCCTCTCAAGAAAAATACACACCCCCTGTATATGGTACCGTTCAGCCGGAATGATTATTTTTTTTATTCAAATGTGGTAGCCCGATAGTTGCCGCCACCAAATCAGAAAAAAGTTGGAATCCGTTCTGATCACACGGATTTAAAATTAGTGGTTGTTGTGACCTCTACGGTCACGACATGTTCCTTACGAAAACGACAGAAAACTCAATCCGCGACCCTCTAAATAAGATTTGTTCCTTGTCTTTCAATTCAAGGGTATTAATTGAAAGCAGTGCCCAAAAACAAATAGCGTTGTATTTGTCCTAGGTCTCAAATTATCTCAAATGCATTCCTGGACTCAAATGTCTTCAAATAACAAGTCTAAATTAGACATGGTGACAATTAGATCCCTTACACAGACACCTTCTGTGGAATCGACAAAAGAACCAATCCCTGAATATGAAAGACAAATGAGGCTTCCCAAGGAGGTTCGTGGTTAAGCCAAGCTTCGATACTGACCACCGAATGCATATCTGTTTTTTCTTCACTGCAGTTTTCACTTTAAGGAAACCAGAACCCAAAAACGAAGCATTCTCAGTGTTATGATCTTCGTTCGGGTTTGAAGGCCGTCGTGTTTTGGAACTGTATCCTAACGTTCCGCCAGCACGAGTGGCTGGCTTATTCAGAGGTCTATTGATCCTGATGGTTCACCGATGACTCGTGATTTCTAGTTCGTAAGCTGTATTTATGTTGACACAGGTAGCCCGCCTTTTTAATTGATGCGTTGTTACATAGCTTTTCTAGATGTACTTGTCGAAAGACGTAGCACAAGACTGACACACACGGACAGATATCTGCATGCACTTTTGAACCATCATCCAAGTCAAAAGCGGAGAATTATCAACACCCTGAGAGAACGTACCCGTAGAATATGTGAACTGGAACACCTACAAGAATAATTGGAACATCTTCGAGTGGCTTTACGATCGAATGGATATAGTGTAACTGAGATCAACAAGGCCATGAAACTGAAGACGTCTACAAGTCAAAATAGGGAGGAAACTCAAACGGTTGCACGTGCGTTTCTACCGTACATCCCTAGGGTTACAGGTAGAATAGGAAAAATCCTAAAGAAGCATTGTTCAAGCCCACCAGGAAAATACAGCAAAGCCTGAGATCTGCGAAAGACAAAAGAGGTCCACTATCAGCTGCGGGGGTATACCGTATACCATGCACCTGCAGAAAACTTTATATCGGTACCACCAAAAGATCCATGGGTACAAGGCTGAATGAACATCGGAGAAACTGTAGACTAGGTCAAATAGAAAAATCGGCAGTAGCGGCACACGCATTTAGTGAAGGAGATCATACGATACTGTTTGAAGATGTGAAACTACATGATACCACGGGAAGCTATAGAAATCCATAAACACCCAGAAAACTACAACAGAAAAGAGGAGACGATAACGCTTAACTGGATTCAGAATCCCATACTGAAAAATGCTAAGGTGGCAGCAGTGAATAGACCTCTGAAGAAGGCAGCCAGTCGTGCTGGCGGAACGTTATGATACAGTTCCAAAACACGACGGCCTTCAAACCCGAACGAAGACGAAGACACGCTATATCGGTGGTCGATATCGAAGAAGAAATAGTTTTTCACATAACTTCTCCATGATAATTTAATTCGATTGAGAGGCTATTTCATCTCCGGAAGACCTTGGCCTCGTTCTGCTCCGGCCCGTGATACTGAAACCAGACAGCACGGCACCGAAACGTGGTCCTAGGTCGCTTATGTGATTTGAACCATTTGCTCACATGGGAAATACTCGGAAGAGACAAATGACGCTTAGCTTGGTAGCCATTACACGCTTCCTAAGCCGCCTCAATGGTATCTCATAGGGCTTCTCTGGGTGGGTCATTAATATTGTTTATTTATATGAAAGTTACAATTTCATCAAGGCATTCAGTTCGGAAACCACTGAAATGACAAAATAATAGTTCCTGGAAGCCACCTGTGGAAAAATTTGACATTAATTAAATGTAGTCGCTTGATATTTTGAATTTCGATGACATGAAGAAATTTTCCTGATTGAATTCTAATTTTGTATCAAGTGTTTCAAGAAATGTTACAGATCGCATTGCCATTGACAATTTCTTACAAAAAAATATTTTACAGGTTTTCTGGCAACTGGAGACAAAATAATACCTGGCAACTACGGTTTGAAAGATCAGCAGATGGGACTCAAGTGGGTCCAGAAAAATATTAAATATTTTGGTGGCGATCCAGAGAAAGTAACCATATTTGGACAAAGTGCAGGAGGATCGTCTGTAGCTTTCCAAGTGATGAGTAAAGGTTCCGAAGGTGAGAGCGGAGAAAAAATCAATCTATTTTAAATCTAGGTACGCGTGAAAACAAGTTTCATTTAACTGCATTGTTATCCTGTTCGTGTACTTGAATATAAACGACTCTACAGTTATGACAAATAAATAATGCACAACAAAATACGCGAAAAAACTCGTACTTTTATACAGCATCCTTTTTTTCGAATGAAAAACGAAGACAAACAACGTTTGCACGCAGGCTTGCACTTAGTTTATCGAAGCGAGATGGATGAACAAACGAGAGTCATTGATAATTTCTTTGATTTTAAGACTGACCGTTACATTGTTCACTTGTTTTTTATCGAAACTTTACTACGGTTTCAATTATTTTATACCACACAAAAAGTTGTTATAACAACTAATGAACTATGCACACTTTATTTCACAGTAAGTAAATTTTATATCGAAAATTTAAATTGTAACTTGAAATATAAAATACCTCTGTCTAATGTTCCGTATACTGTAAAAAATTGAATATAAAATATGTTTTTTTTCAGAATAATCAAAATATTGACGATTTTTAGGAAATAGACCCAAAATTGTAAAAATGGAATAGTAATGTTTGTTAAAAAGTTAGGGTAGTCGGAGTGATAGCCGGAGTGATCGTTTTCATCGATTTGTGCTAGTTTGTTGATTTCAGTCCAATAAAACAAGGATTCAAATTACCATCCTTAAATCAAATCTGCGTTTTTCAATATAGGTTGATTTCAAAAGGATTTATACTAGAGAAATGTTACTAAATAATTAAAAATTAATCCAAAAATCACATTTTTAAAATATCTTAAAAAAATGAGAATATATGAAGAAAAGGTTGAAACAAAAACTGTAAGGATTGAAATTTTCTATGATATCGTTCTGAATAACTTTCCACGAATTTACAAAAGAAAACGAGATATTGGCAATAAATGATTGAAATGTTTAGCTCAGTAGTGGGTATATAAAAAAATTTACAAAAAATCGAAAAATGTGAGTTTTTCAACTTAAAAAAAAATCAAGTGTAACGTATAATATCAAATCGCTTCTACCGATTATAAGAGTAACAAGGATCAAGCTCGCCTTCCATCGAGAGATCTAAAAGTCTGAACATAGAGGCAATTCATTTTTCAATAGATGAATAGGACTGGAAAAATCTCAGGTGAATGTAAAGATGTTAAAAAATAGACTCAAAAAAATAATTTCGGTCAATAAATTTTTTTTCAATATGAATGTTCAATTTTTGAACAAATCGATCAAAATTACATCCCTGAGATTATTCATTAGACCTGAGACTTTGTAGATATGATAAGGAAAAAGTAGAAAAATTCACATTTTTGCAAATATCTTGGTTTCTATTGTAAATGAGTACGCCAAAAGGGATTTCGGACGATTTCATAGAACATTTTAAACCCTACATTTCGACCAATTTATCACATCTTTTTATGTTTTTGAGATATTTCCAAAAAAGTTATTAATGGGGTAGTTTTTGATTATTTTTTGCCTTCCAAATAACATTAAACATTATTCAACTATAAATCCTTCAAATGTATGTTAAAATCAACTTATATTGAGATATGCATTTTATTAGACTATTCATATTGCCATGAATATAACATCTTCATTATGCCCTAGACATTAATACAAAGAAATGTTCCTAACACAAATAAAAAAAATAACTTTTCAGAAAAACAAAGAAATAAAGAAGAAATTATTAAATAAAATTAAGAGATCCGAATTTTCACTAATCCAAACAAAAAACATGAATATATAAAACTAGACTGTCACTATCAGAACATTTTTCATGGACCCATTTTCTGTAACCTTTCTATCGGAACTACATCTCTCCACTTGTCTAAACGAATAGCACAGAAAGCTTCCTTTTCTGAATATTTTCAGTTACCGTTTACGATTGCAATTTCGTCTAATTGATATATGAGTCTTCATCATCATATTTGCGTAATTTTCTACCCTTTTGTTCATTGTTGTATTCTTTTTGCTTCTATCTTAAATTTTCCTAAATGTTGACACACAATCTGCAAATCCTCCACAATAATTTCTTTAAAATCAACGCCCTTTTTAATATGTAATGATACTGATCCCACAGGTAAACACATCTACTATAATGAAAGAACAAATAAAATCAGAATGAATAGCTGAAATATCAATTACATTGAGCAATAACGTTAAATGAGAATATAATAAAACGTATAAAATAATTAAGATACAAAATGAAAATGACTAGGTACACAGTAAAAAGAAATGAAAAGAACAAAAATAAAAATGAGCAAAAAAATAAAAAAAAAATAAAGAAATTCAAATCATGTGACTTCACGACATTTCGTGAAGTAACTTGGTAAAAAATTCAATATTTTGAGTGAAGTCTCGGGTATACAATGAAATGGATAAATATGAAAAGAATGCTAATTTGACTCACGTTATGTTGTCTGATAAACGAGTTAGGACTTTCCCGAAATTTCAGAGTAGAGTAATGAACTTTAGACATTTTGCCCAAGCACAAGTGATTCTTAAATTTTCATCAAAGGCATCAAGTTCGGTTTTTCACTTTGTGATAACCAATCAAATACTTACCTAGATAATTAAATTTCATTATGCAATGAACTTAGCTATGATGATATATTTTTTGAATGAAACGACGGGAAAAAGTTTCAGGTTATATATTGGTAAATGCAGGATAGAGGAGGCATCATAATTTGTTGTAAAAATACAGGTCCGTATTGAAAAAAATTATTAATGGAGGCGGCCTTATGTCAACGAAATGTCATCTGAGAAATAAAATGAGGACATATTATAATAATAATAAAAATGTTTATTCACAGATATATCATTATATACATTTGATAGAGAATTTAGTTGAACAAACAGACAATACCACAAAAGTCACAGAAGTGACTTGTGCGTGATAACATAAATATGACAGATAATAACAATATAAATAACACATAAATAATAATAATAATTGAAATATTACATTTTCACAATAACATTGAAAAATCTCAATCATAAAATAATTGAAATATCTATTAATCAGTTTTTAATAATCAAATTTGATGGAGAAGGTGTAATCAGATCCAGACTAAAACTTTTGCAAAAGAATCAACAGTCGAACAGAACGAATGAAACCGGGGTACATAGAAAATATTCTATATATTTGTGTACTAATTTTGCTGTAAGATGTTATTTTTCAATTTTTTCAATTATTTGGTGGATCGCTTTCCGGTTCCTCTGATATACATATGTTTTCAATTCTCTTTTGAATTTTGATATCGATTGTTGAATTTTTATTTCATCAGGAAGAGTGTTGAAAGCCCTTGGACCCAAAAATTAATGACTTTTCTGGCCTACTGACTTGCTCATTATCAGTTGGACAAATTTGTTTCTTCCTCTGGTAAGATACGTATGATCCAGATTGAGAATGTCAATTTTTTTTTGGAATACTGCAATATTCAGCTGTTCAAAGTATATTTGTCTCAGATCATACGTTTTTGTCTCTTTATATACTTGATCACTGGAGTATCTACTATTTTCATTCAGGATGATTTTCAAGAATCTTCTTTGGGATATTTCCAATGCATCAAGGTGTGTTCTTGACACCCCGCCCCATCCGAGAATACCGTATTTCAAGTGCGGTTCGACAAGACTTTTGTACAAAATGATTTTCTGATCTTGGTCCAAGTACTCCGTCACATACTTGAATCTATATAAAATGCATCGCAATTTTTTCAATAGATAGATAATATGCTGATCCCACCGAAGATGTGAATCTGATGATTCCTAAATATTTAATTTTTTCTTTTGGTTTTATTGCACATTTTGTTAGAGTAATATCAAACGTAGGAAGAAATGCATATTGACACTTAAATGGTAGGTAGTGTGTCTTTCGAAATTTATTGATAAGAGGTTATAGTCGAACCACATTTTCAATTTATTGAGGTCTGTTTGAATTTTATTTTTCAGGTCATACCAGTTGTTGTCTGTATAAAAAAGGACAGTATCATCAGCAAAGCTTGTGATTTTTCCACTTTTTTCCGCACATAGTAGGTTGTTGAGGTATATTGTGAATAATATTGGTCCCAGTACCGTTCCTTGGGGTACTCCACATGTAATGGATTTTTTCCGACTCGTTTTCCCTTTGAATTTCAATATTTGCCCTCTGTCTGTTAGATAATTCATTAATAATTCATATGATGAACCTCTTATACCTATGTCCTCAAGTTTTCGTAGAAGAATGGAATGGTCAACGGTATCGAAAGCCTTCGTGAGATCTATAAATACTGCTATTGATGGAATACCTTTATCTAATGCATTGTATATGTCTCCAGTTGAGACCTGAATTGCGTCCTGGGTAGATTTTCCCTCCCTAAAACCGTATTGTGTTGTTGAAAGTAATCCATATTTGTTGATAAATTTGCTCAATCTAGTTTTCAAAATTTTTTCTAGTATTTTGGAGAGGTTTGAAATCAAGGAAATAGGTCTATAGTTACTCATATCAGTTTTATCTCCGCTTTTATAAATAGGCGTAACTACCGACAGCTTAAAGGCAGAGGGAAATTCACCTGTTTCCAGAGATTTATTAATTATAATATTTAATGGTTTTTTTATATAGTCTGCTATGAGTTTTATTGTTTCTGCCTTTAAACCGTCGATTCCCGGAGCCTTTTTATTTGTCAGTTCATATATAACATTTTTTATTTCCTGTTCATCTATCGGATTCAAAAAAATTGTTTTCTCATGAATTTTTTTATGTTCTACATAATTTAAGGGCTTCTCAATTCGTTTTGCTAAGTTTTTGCCGATATTAATGAAGAAATCATTGAATTTCTCTGCGATTTCAGAAGGTTCGTTTATCATCCTGCCGTTTTGATCTCTAATGGTGTTTGTTTCTTCACTCTTCTGGATATTCAACATTTCATTTACAGTTTTCCATAGTTTCGTTGATACGTTTTGTTCATTACTTATCCTTTTCTTATAATAATCTTTTTTAGCTTTTTTAATTTGTTTTTCTAGTTTCTTTTTGAACTCTGAAAATTTCCTCTTCAATGTTTCATTTTCCGGGTGTTTTTTTGTGTCACGCCTCCATTTGTATAATAAAGATACAAGAGCGGAAAAAATCAAAATTAACGATTTAATTTTTTTAATTATTTTGAGAACGGCTCGCAGTAGTCTGGGCTTACAAAAATTATTTTATTGCATTATTGAGAGTACATGTTTTGTCCTATTCAACCAACATAGTATCTTCTACCGTTAGTAAGATAGCAATAGTGAGCAATTACATGTTTGTCACCCGGGTGTGACCTTCAGCAATATCCCCGGGTAATATGAATACTATTTGGAATTATTTTCATTTTTCATTTCAAGGTTTATTCAGGGCAGCAATCGCTCAGAGTGGATCCAATATTGTTCCTTGGGCATATCAGAGGAGTTACAAGACGTTGGCTTTTAAAATCGGAGCTGCTTTAGGTAAACCCTTGAACGAGGACACAGATAGTGACAAGTTGTTGGCTTTCTTGAGAACTATTCCAGCTAAACAACTCAACACAGTTTCAACTCAAGTTTATGTGGTAATTATGATGATAATAACCATTCATTATTTTTAATTACTGTGACAGTAATAATACATACAATCCATTTATCCACACATTTATGAGCGCTTTTCAACACTTTCATTCCAAAATTTTGTTTTATTTTTCAAGTTGAAGGAAGATTACGACAGTATTTATTGAAACGTATAAAATAATCACATATTGCACAAGAACTTGATTAGTTTACTAAATTATGAAAAAAAAATGTGTGGTTCTATCATGAAACATTCTCTCATATTGTATTTTATTTTTGATCATTTAGGACAGGGGTCTTCAAACTTTGAAGCCTTCGGGTCATAATGATTTTTTCAGTTTGTTCCAAGGGCCAATTTCTGCCCTTAACTATATTTCTAGACTAGGACAGTCGCAAAGTGCGGGACATAAGCAAACATACGCTTTTCTTGCATTTCAATTATTATTGTGTATTGTGACACTTAACGACATCTAGTGGCGAGTAGTGGTACTATCTACTATCTTTTTCAGCTACTCGCTAGGTGGCATTAGGCGTAATTAAATATTTTGAATTACCGCGTTGGTTCGAGAAAGTTCTGGTTCTAGCTAGTGTATTCCGATCACCTCAAGATGGCAGTAATAATTGCATATAAAAAGGCTAGCGGCGCAACTGCGAGTTAGTCTGCGTAGGAAAGGCGAAGGAAGCGAAACTGTCTACTGCGAAATAAAGTAACACCCGTCAATAAGAGTATTTTGTTTTGACTTATTGTTTTTATGTGTGATTTGTTAGTATGGAAAAGAAGCGAAAAATCGACAGTGAATGCAGAACGTTCCAAGAAAAATGGAACTTTCAGTATTTTGTGATTGAGTCCAGTAATAAGGCGCTATGTTTAATTTGTAATGAAACCATAGCTGTTCTCAAAGACTATAACATTAAACGACACTATGAATCGAAACATCTTCAAAGTTACTCCAAGTATACAGAAAGTTTGCGGAAGGAAAAATTTGAAGCTTTGAAACGCGGACTCAAGTCGCAGCAATCTTTGCTTACCAAAGCGAATACTGAACAAGAGTCTGCAACTCGCGCCAGCTTTCGTGTGGCTCTTGAAATCGGAAAACGTGGCAAACCATTCACCGATGGAGAAATGATAAAAGAATGCTTGATTGCAGTAGCCGAAGAAATATGCCCCGAAAAGGTAAATTTATTTAAAAGTGTCAGTTTGTCAGCAAACACCGTGGCTCGGAGGGTGCAAGACATCGCAGAAAATATATCATCTCAACTGTCTGACAAAAATGAACATCATGAGTGGTGTTCTCTAGCATTGGATGAGTCAACGGATATGTCAGATACTGCTCAGGTGTTGATTTTTATTCGCGGAGTAGATAAAAGCTATGAAATGTATGAAGAACTTCTTGATATTGATAGTATTCACGGCACGACAACTGGGGCAGATATTTTTAAGGGAGTTGAGAATGCCATCAATAAAAAGAACCTTCGATGGAGAAATTTGAAATCTATAACAACTGATGGAGGCAAAAATATGTATGGTAAAAATAAAGGAGTGGTTGCACTTGTGTCAAAGGCTGTAGAAAATGATGGTGGTTCAAAACCATTAGTCTTACATTGTATCATTGATCAACAGTCCTTGTGCGGAAAATGTTTGGATATGTCTGAAGTTCTAAAACCAGTCATATCAGTTGTTAACTTCATCAGATCCACTGGGCTGAATCACCGACAATTCCGCGAGTTTATTCAACAGATTGGAGAAAATGATTTACCATATCATACTGCCGTACGCTGGCGTAGTTGCGGAAAAGTCCTTAAGCGCATTTTTGAACTTCGAGCAGAGATCGAAATTTTTTCAAATGTGAAGCAGCGCCCTTTTGCCGATTTAGAAAATAGTGAATGGATGTGGAAAATATCCTTCTATGTCGATTTGACAAATCATATTAACGAACTGAATTTGAGATTGCAAGGAGAAAATCAGCTTCTCCCTGATTTATACACCAATATCAAATCCTTCAGGCAGAAAATAATACAATTTCAATGGCAATTACGTAAAAAAAGTTTCACACATTTTGAAACATGTGAAATATTCAGCCACACTACAGAGACTGAATTTCCCGTCAATTTTGCAATAGAAATTTTGAGTGCTTTGGAGATAAATTTTGATACTCGTTTTTCAGATTTTGATGTCATTGCGAATGAAATTAAGCTTTTTCAAAATCCTTTTGATTCTGACATTGAAACCCTGGCTCCGGAAGTCCAAATGGAAATTATTGATTTACGGTGCAGTGATATGCTTAACAACAAATATCAAAATTCATCTTTGTTGGAATTTTATAAGAGTCTTCCACTGGAACAATTTGATAATTTCCATAAATTTGCTCGTGGGTTGATTTCTGTTTTTGGTACTACTTACTTGTGTGAGAAAACGTTTTCCAAGATGAAGTACACAAAGAATGTTTACAGATCTCAATTAACCGATGAGCATCTTAAATCTCTTTTGATAATTGGTACAAGTAAAATTGATCCACATCTACAAAGTATTGTCGATGGAAAATCACAATTACATAAATCTCATTAGTGTTTTTGTTTTACTGTAATTCGTTACAATTATTTGTTAGTTATTAATATGCTTAAACTTAGATACTTAAGTTAAGTTTTCTTTGTCATCATTTCTGTCGTTAAGTTTTACCTTGCAAGTAAATAAAACCGAGTAATTATCATTCTGTGTTTTCTTCTTCAACTTATCACACCAATAGTAACAACAATTAGGTAATCATTGGCTGTCGCGGGCCAGATTGATGACAGTAAATCATTGACTGTCGCGGGCCGGATTAATGACACTGGCGGGCCGGAATTGGCCCGCGGGCCGTAGTTTGGAGACCCCTGATCTAGGAGTTAGTCCTACTCCATATGTAATTACATTTCCATTTGGTACGATGAGACTAATCTCTGGAACGCAAAGCGAACATTTCAAATAAGTTCCATGTATTGACATGTGATCAACCTGAATTTATTGGTTGTTAATTGATTTTCTAAACATTATCGGTGGTAAAATACACCTACTATACAGGGTGGGGCACCCCATACCCCGTTTCTTTTGATATGTTATGCAGTAATAGCAGGTATTTTGATTTTTACTATTATACACGGTGGGACACCCCATACGACACGGTCCCTGTAAACCAAAACAAACCTTTTTTCGGGAATTTATACATTTCATTATATATATATTGATTAAGGCTGCAGAAGGAAATTATTTTGGAGTCTACAGGGTGGCTCAAAATAGTGTTGCATATAAAAGTTGTTGTTTTTCGAAAACACCCTGTATATCGTTACAAGTTCGAACCACCCACCATCACACAAAATGGTTGCCAATAACGCATTCATATACAGAATGCTACGGATACACTTAGCAATCAAGCCCGGAACAAGTAAAGGAAAAGTATATTTATACCAAATAGCAAACGAGAACGGATACACCTAAAAGACAATAGATACATTGAAAAATAGAAACAAACAAAAAATACAAACTACTCCAACAGATAAAACAACAAAGCGATGGACCGCATTCACATAGGGGAGACTGGGGCAAGATGAGATAGCTAAGACAAAACTCGTTATACAAGGAAAATTAAACTCTTCAATAACATTCTTTAACAAAAGAGGTAACCATTATACATTTTTCTCTTATAATTAAACGTTGTAGCATGCAAAATCACAGAACTTTTTTTGGCAAATAATGAAAAAATAAACTCGGTAAATTTCCCGTTTTGCCCCATAACTGGGGTAAGATGGGAAACGCTGTGGGGCAAAACGAGTACGCTTTTTAATCGGGTAGACAGCGTTCACAAATGTGTGCCTCTTCATCTTCCTCATCTACTCCGGCACATGAATTATGCGCCCAACCGTGGCACACGCCGCAGATGACCCAACCTTCGGTTGAATCTGAGTATAAGTACCCACAGTAGTTGCAAGCACTGTCATCATCCTCTTCTTGGGATGAACTATCTTCCGATTCAGTTTCTTTTTTGCACCTTTTGGTTTGACGCTTTTTCTGCAGGTTTTCCTTGTCAGTTGTCTTTTTAATCTTCTTTGCAGTCTTTTTTCCATAAATATTTTTGATCCTGATTTAAGTAGAATTTACAAATATTATCAGTACATAGAAAATGTTATTTTAATCACAAGGGCGTGGCAAAACGGGATAGTATCCCATTATGTCCCGATCATCTTGCCCCGATCCACACGTAGGTGAAAAAGATGACGCAATTCTAACCTCAAACTTTACCGGCGAAAAAATCTGGTTTGAATTTGATGTTTTGGACTACTATAATAAGCTCGGGATTGAAATAATACATTAACACAGGTACTTACATGTCTGTACATCAGTTTTCGAATCAAATATCGCGTAAAAATACTTGCAATATCACTTTTTTATCTCTGCAACGCAAAAACGATTTCTAACCTGTTCGCTCTGCTTGGACACACTAGCGGAGAGTGAAGTTCGTGCAAATGGCGCTGTCGCCGCTCCGAACACGATTACTATTCACGCACACAAGCTTACTTCCCATGCTGTCCCGAACTTCATCTTGCCCCGGTCTCCCCTACATAGGTCACCAAACCAAAAAATTAACAAACATCTTCAAACGCTTGAACATCAACTTCATTCACAAGCCGAATGCGAAAATGATACAAAAAATAAACAACTATGAAAAAAAAAGACAAAAACCCAAACAACAATGCTCGGACTGCAACAAATTCTATATCGGCCAAACCAAAAAAAAACTGATCCAAAGATACGACGAGCATAAAAAAGCATACATAAACCCAATAACATATAAATCAAACCATGCAACACACGCCTTACAAAACAAACATAACTTTCCTCCACCAGAGAACATCAAACTCATGAAACAAGTCATTGAAGGAAACCGTATGGATATCTCAGAAAACCTAAACATTCATAAATTCAAAAGTCATAATTCACTTATCGAGGAACAAATACAAATTTAACCACAACAAGACCTAAAATTCACTATACTAGACAATACAATACACATTTCTAGAAACAATGAACAAAGGATATTACCTGATGTAATCCAAATACAGGCGAATTTAAAGAAACATCCGGATGACAGGAGGGGACAAATACCTGCACTGAGGCGTTCGTAAAGAACAAACAAGGAGATAAAACTTCAGTTTGAGTAGAGCCATGGAGATAGAAGAGCCTGCTATCGAAAGCGCTCGCATGTAATAAGTAGTAGTTATTAAAGCTTCAAACCCGTTTCGTAAACTTATGTTATAATTTTATTTCAATTATTTACATACCTATTGTTTATATTACTATATTTGTAATACTATTTATGACATTGTGTTTGTAACAAGAATTGAAATGCTGTTTCAAAACATTCATTCGACAGGCATCAATGCCAGATATGCCAGCAGCATGAACACGCTGCGAACAATCGAGTACATTACCATATGAATTATTGGGAAAGAAAGTTTTTGGCTTTCTACTATACAAACAAAGAAAAAGAAACAAAAAAAGAAGGATGAGGGAGTCTTCCAAAGAAAGGAAGGAAGTAACTCTAGATCATGCAGAAAAGTAACTTTCAGACACAAACTGAAAGAAAGTCCTCCTGAAACATCTGAATTACTATTGTAATACATTCATTTTTTTTTCAGGATAATTTATTCATTGACCAAATGACTGATGGACTTGTTTTCACTCCAGTTATTGAACCTGAACATGAGACAGCCTTCATTACCGAGAATATGTACGAGGCGATAGAAAATGGTAGAATGACCAGGGTGCCCCTCATGATTGGAATGTGTTCAGAAGAGCAGCTTGGAAAACTTTCAGGTGAGAAAGAAATTTCAAGTAAGTTCAGATGAAACCACAATTGCCAAGTCAACTTTCCAAAGTTTAAGAATCACTTTAATTATATCAGATTGAAAAAAAATGCAAGCAAGTTTCAGTGGAAAATACGATTGAAAAAATATATGTTTGATCACATTTCATTTTGTAATTGTTATGTAATGAAGCCGAGGTAAGTGACCACATAGGTCGCAAAAATTCAAAAACAAAAGTCGTATCTGAAGTATCCTTTTGGTCTTGATGGGCAAGAATTATTAAAAAACTAATGAAATGATTTTGAAAAATAAATTCAAATGATTATAATAAAATTAGTATGTAGATGGATAATGATTTTATTTCTCCAATGACATGAAAGTGACGATGTCTATTAACATTTATACAAACACTCTCCTAATCTATATCGATTGATTTAACTATATGTTGATAGAGAGTGTTTCCTCACTATAAAAGTAATAATAATAAACGTTTGTTTTAAGGTGATTGACAATGTTTCATGATGAATTTCACTAGTTCGGACTTCCATTGTCTAATATATAAAATTATTTGAAATCCCTGAAACAACTAAAAAAGAAAATTAAAAATGAATAGCAGAAAATGAAATAATAGTGAAATAAAATACAAGTAAAAATAGAACGATTGAACAAAAATTAAAATTAAAGAAATAAAATTGAAAATAAAAATAAAAAGTTAAGAGATTCCAAGCCACGTTAGTTCTTCACTCTTTATTTTTCTTAACTTCTTAACTCTTTATTAAATTAAGAGTTAAGAACTAACGTGGCTTGGAATCTCTTAACTTTTTATTTTTATTTTCAATTTTATTTCTTTAATTTTAATTTTTGTTCAATCGTTCTATTTTTACTTGTATTTTATTTCACTATTATTTCATTTCA